CAGTAACTCAAATAGTATGAAGCAAATATGAGCTGTCTATTCACAGAAAAATTAAACAGAATGTGGATATAATTTCACATTATTTACATTTCTCTTACTGAAAATATTATAGGAAATATGCCCATGTCAAAGACCCTCTAAAATTTCCGTGTGATATTTAAGAATGATTCAAGTTTTAAAATGGCCAAATCCTGTCAATTCCTTCTTTAAAATCTCTCTCTCTCTCTCTCTCTCTCTCTCTCTCTCACCCACCCTCCCTTCTTTTCAGTTCTTATACCATTAGACAAAGGTTCCTAGAATACACCATTGTCCATATCCAAAGCTTTGCTAAGATTCTTTACCACTTTTGTTTTCCTACTGAAAACCCCTTCCCTCCTTTTCCTTCTGATATTCAAATGCTCCTGGAGGTACTCAAATCCCCCAGAGTGTGGCTCTTGCCTCCAATTCAATCATAGAAACTCTAGGCAACATGGTCCATGCACCATTTCCCAAACATATAGATTTTACTTCCTTCCATTTTTCTTGAGTCATCTAAATCATGTATAACTTGATTATATTTCCTACGATAAGAAATCAATAGAAACTATTTGTTATATACTTTCATTCTCTCAACAGGTTGGGCTCAGTACCATGTAGTCCACATGAAACTAGATGCAACCATTGTAGGCCTAACCACACAGTACACATCAGCAACAATGTAACATTAAAAAAATTTCCATCTTGCCCTGGCCGGTTTGGTTCACCCGTTAGAGCGTAGGCCTGTGGTCCTGAGAGACCCGGATTCGGTTCCCGCTAAGGGCATGTACCTCGGTTGCAGTTTGTCTCCGGCCCTGGTCGGTTGTGTGGGTGGCAGCCACTTGATGTGTTCCTTTCACATCGATGTTTCTCTCTCTCTTCCTCTCTCTCCCTCCCACTCTACCTGAACAAAAAATGGAAAAATGTCCTCAGGTGAGGATAAAAAAAATAAAATAAAAATAAATAAATAAATAAAAAAATTTCCATCTGTTGTTGGTCAAATCTGCAAAGGGGGAGCCTGTGGCTAGGGAGAGCTGACTGCCTTGTATCATGAAAGCAGTCATTGGAAATAGGTAAGGAAATGGGTGTGGCTATGTTCCACTCAACTTCAATCATATAAAACAAACAAACAAAAGACAGACTGTAGGTTTGATTTGGTGCACGGGCCATTGCTTACTGATCACTGGTCTAGAACCATAGTTTGATCAAATCCATGGGATAAAAATTTATATCTTTAGAACCATAGAAAAGTTCATTCATATGATGTTATTTCTGACACAGTAAGAAAAGTGTAATTTAAAGTTAATTCCATTTAAGTTCTTTAGGTAAAATGGAATGCTTAACCAACCTACACATGTGAATAGGTGATAGAAAAAAATATATTAATGGTAAAAATGCAATATCTACTTTTCTGGCTGTATATATACAATATGTTTTAGACCTTAGCTTTCTCTATGACTTTGTCAAAACCCTTTCTGGAAATTGTACCCAAATTTCTATCTTCTGTCCTGACCTATGTCTATAATTACATTTCAAATGCATACTTGGATATTTTTAATTGCTTCCCCTGCTGTCACCTCTAATGAACAATGTACAAAACACACTCTCTAAAATCAGCTCTGGTTTCAGACCTAAGAATTTTCACCAATATAACTATTCTCAAGATAAAATTGTTGGAGTTTAAAAAAAAATCATATGATCATCGTTGACTTATTTCTGTTTCTGCTACTCGTGCTTGCCACTAAGTCCTAAAATTATGTTCCTGTATTGTATGTTGAAAATCCATTTATTTTTGCCCCTTCCCACGACTGGTTCCTGAGACCCTATTACTTCATCATTGCACTGCTGCAGTAGTGTCCTAGCAGCATCCAGACCCGTGCGTCTTCCCTTCCTAATTTGTTCTGCACGCACTGACAGATGAAACACTGCTTTCAGCAGGTGCTGGCTCCAACTACCCACTGGACAATGAGTAAAATACTGGTTCTGACATTTATAACCTTCTACAAAACCACCCTCGGCTCTGCTCACAGCGTCAGAGCTCCAATCCACCCACTTTCCTGTGAACATAGTTAACATTTTTATTTTTCTTACCTCAAATGTTTAGCTGATAGAACTTATCTTATTTTGTATTATTATATCCTTTTCACTAATCCTAATATTATGGTATAAGCCAAGTCCCAGCTCATCCTTCAGGTCTTCCTTAAGCTCTTTGGCTTCACATTACTGCTTTTGCGGTGGCTCAGTCTTTAACTCCCGCATGCTGGGTGATGTTGCCAGTGATGCCATTTCCCTAGCCAAATGGAAGCTCCCTGGCCTGAACATCTCTATTATTTCCTGACATGCGTGGCTCTCTCTACAGTCTTCTGAATGTAATCGCGGTCAAGTGAATGACTGGAATTAGAAAACCTGATGTGTTAGAGAGGACAGGGAGTAACTTCTCTATAGCCTTGGCTGATTGATGCTCATCCTTACTATACAATTTTTTAATCATTAAAAACAAGTACCCCTTGGCACTTTTTAAGTTTCTGACCAGATAAAAACAAAGATGAAAACAGCAAGCATCTGACAGGTCAATCATGAAGAATTCTGAAAACAGCTATGACCATCAAAGGAAGAAAAACTTGCCTTTTTGTCATTAGCAAATTATATTTCTACACTCTTGATTCTCCCCATTTCATGTTTCTGTAGAAATACAGGCTCTAAGAAAAACACAAAAATCTTTAATCTACCAAGGCAACAAAGATGATCCTCATATGGAATTTGAGAGGGTTCTTCTCAGTATATTTATGCAGCAATGACTTTCTCTGTCCAGACAGCCTGGAAATAGAAAAGACTGCCAAGACAGAGTAAGGAGTCTGACAAGTATTCTGAGATTAGAAATCAGTATTTTAAGTACAGGCAGAGGAAGAGGAACCGGTAATAGGAAACCAAGAATAAAGCAATAAAAACGCCGGAGACAGTTGCACTGAGGAAGCCAAAGACCCCTTTTCACGGCGAGAGAGGTCATAGTATTAAGACACTACAAAGCAGTCACCCGGGATGAGGAATGAACAGAAGTTTCCAGATTAGGAGATGAAAAGATGACCAGTAATCACAGAAAGAAGAGTTTTCATACAGACGTTGTGTCAAAAATACAAAAGACCCGTGTTGCTATGGTTGTTTTTCTGTGACTATGACGTATGTGAACATTCACTGGGGCCACAATCCAACAGGAAGGGGGATTTAACATTTCATGAAGACTTACTCTGTGCAAAGCACGGTGAGGATCATTATGATCTCTCCCTACGAGGGAAGAAATAAAGGAACCAAGGTTCTACAGCTGTTAAGTAAAAGAGTTTGGAACTGAAGCTGTTTTCACACCTGTGTTCTTTCCGCCACCTCTCAGATTTCCTCCAGGGGGAGTCTATCGAGATGTGACTTTCAACTGTTCTACCCAACTGCATTTCACACTTGGATCCCTGGGTATTATATGTGCACAGATTGTAGAATATTTAAATTGGAATAATCCTAAAAGATCATTTGGTCCAACCCTCTTTTCCTTTTTTTCATCTAAGTAAACAGAGACCCAGAAAGGTGACGTAATAAGTATGACTCACACTGTGTTAGTGAAAAGAACAAGGACTAAAACTTGTGTTTCCTGAGTCCCAAATTCATGCCTGTTTTCATGAAAAACTCCATGGAGGGTCTCAATTGCACACAAATGTATGCTGGACTCAAGGAAGAGTTAGTAGGGTGTGACAAAAAGGTCTATGTCACTCAATTTCTCGATGAATGGTTTGAAATGGGGAGAATGACGTTCAATTCTAAATACCCAAGATGCTGTAACTGTAAAAGGAGACAGTTATGTTCTAGTTAAAAGTGATGGTGGCAGATAAATAATGAAAATTAAGCATATAAAGTAAAATCCTAAAAATCCCTAGGTAATTAATAGTATTTGTAAACTAAATTTTATGTTTCAAATAAAGACCTCTAAAATGATAATTATAAAAGAGAGTTCGAAAAAGAGTGGAACTTGTTTTTTTCACGTTAGGAAAGCAATCTTTTCATTGCAAAGAAAAGGGGATTCGAGGTCACATCAGCAAAAGCTGGAATTCTCTTCTGTGTGTTCAGACTTTTGCATCATCATCGAATATATAACTACAAATGAGGGCGCAGGACATGTTCTCATGCATCAAAGAGAGGTGGTGACTGTGTATTCAATTGTATATTCTGCTACATTTTCGGTATGTGGGAACCACATGCTACAAGTCAACATGAGTAAAAATAAAAGACTGAATTTGCTACATGCATAAATAATATGTCCCAAAGCTTTGAATGTAAGTATTATTCATAATTTCCAGTAAAAAATATTGCCCAGTGGGAAGCATTTCCATCACTCATTTTGCAGGATTCCACGTTATCTAGCAATGCAGACAGATTGCAGTCCGTCTGTGGCAGGTTTCGAGTACATAACTCTGCCATTTAAAAGTCAGTACTACATCTGTACAGAATTGGGGACAGCCATGGCAACGTTAGGGATGCCCCTGCTGAGGATTTCTGGGAAAGTTAACCAATTATATTACAATATATGCATGTGCATATATAATGCTGACGGGCAAAGATGTAAGGGTCTTATTGACTGTTAAGGTGACAAGCAAAAGAGTTATGGAATGCCACGATCCAAAAATTAACAACAACAAAACAAGCAGCAGTGTAGAAACTGTTACAACTCTCTCAAGAGCTTCGTCTGATTATCTTCTAGATATCAATGAGGGAAAAATTCAACTAGAGGAATTATGGGCTCAGGCCAAAGACCAGAGGGCACAATTTTAAAAGACACGTTTCCGTGTTCTGGTGGTAGGCAGAATGCGTGGCAAGCAGATTCGCATCTGCTCTGCTCTGCCGGCTAAGCGTGGCATCAAAATGACAAACGCATCAAGCTGGTGGTTAAGTTAGAGATGTTGGAGGGATGAGAAGCAAATCAACTGCGGAATGAGGCCTCCCACCTCTCGCCTGCCGTCCCGGCCCACAGCCTTCCTGCGCTCCGGGGCTGTCCTGCTGCACGCTCCAAGGGACTAACTGACATCTGCGCCACTTGTGCGTCTTCCACCTACGAGAAAAGAGAAGCAAAGATGCCAGGCAAATCAGAGATATGGTGACATGGAAAGACGACTTTGATCCTTGCAAACAGAAATTTATTTGACGATGCTCTGTCCTATCTAAATTGAACTTAGATCTCCAAGACATGATTTAAAAAAAGCAGCCTTAAATATGAAAGGACTTGCTGTGGCAGTGGAGGCCGAGTCCACTATGGTCAGGTTCTTTAAGAATAAACTCTGCAGAGAACATTTAGCCTTTTTAATGAGGACTGCAGCAGATGCACCAGATGGTACCAGAGGCGCTGCTTTCTGCTTAATTGAGGCATGTTTATTTTATAGTCACGTTATAAAACTGCTTCACGTCATGAGCCTTTTGTATATGTGCCCTTTTGGTTAGCATTGCAGTGGTCACTCGGAAACTGCAATTATAATACACTTTACAAAAACAAATCCGCCAAATAAATACATTTGGTCTAATAGTTGTCAGTGTTCATCATCGAAGCAGGCAACTCTACGGTTTGCCATAATTATGTTATTTCTCAGAATTAAATGCAGATACATTAAGATGGCAGATCTACCATTAATTTCACCTTAAATTGCTACTTTTTGATCACGCATTCCATCAACTGATGCCATGATATTTCATTTGTTGTCAGGATTGCAAGAACATACCACATCAAGTTTCAGTTGGGTACTTTCTTTTCATAGTTCTGAGGACAAGCTTCTCCAATTACTATCAAGATGATGATAGACAGATTTAATAACCTTAATTTTCTTTGAGGTAGCCAAAGATTAATAACAAACATCTTCCTAGCATCAGTGAGATAAAGATGTCATTTCATGAGCAAGGATGCCGGCATTTAGAAGGAACAAGGTGCTCTTTGGAGCCAAGGGACAGGTACTTAGGCTATCCCTCTAAGTGAAAAAGAACTGCTTCCTGAAACATATGTTTCATAATTATGAACAACTTCTCTGCATTCCTCATTGTTCATGTCAACATAAGAGATTCTCCCTAACTCCTGCAGCTAATAATACAGCATGGAAATGTATCAAAGTCATTGTCTCTCTGGAGATCATGCCAGCAGGAGAGCAGTTCTTGGAAAAAGGTAAGCGATGATAGCACACACAACTATAAATATCCCAATCTCCACTGAGCCTGCAGGGCAGGGCTGGACTTGAAGTATCTCGCTCAGTGCATTGGAGACAAGGCTTGTTCTTCAACGTTATTACCTGTAGCTTTGGCACGTCGGCGGGGCCTCACAGGCCTTCTCTTCATAGAGGGGATCTGTGCAGTCCCTGCCCCCATTGGCCGGCAGCTGCATGATGACCCGGTGCCGAGACTGCTTCTTGACTCCGGAATTCCCTAGAACAAGGCAGCTTTTTAACCTCTGTACTCTGCACTGATAAAAGAATCTCCAAATACCATCCTGTGCGAAGAAATTGCATTGCCTCTAGCTACACGTGCTTTGACATCCCTGAATGGGAGGCCTCGTCTAGTCTAATCATTTCCTAAATTCTCCTAAAGACCGCTTGTATTGAAAACCCAATCAATTTATATTTAACAATGTGAAGAATGAAGGAAGTAGTTCCACAGTCAACTAGCCTTCCTAATGCACAGTTGCAAAGTAATTGCTCTTTTGTACATTCCTTTCCCCTTGAGAAATATGACAGCTCTAATTAATTTATTTCGTCTACCTTAAGTTTATTTTCATGCCATTTCACACAGCCCTGTTTACCACACGGGACTCATACACACGTAATGAATCCTTCTTAGGAGACTAGATTCCAGGTTTTAATGTGAAATTTTATTTCTTTGTTACTCACTTAATTTGAAATGCATAACATAAATTATCCTAGTCATTTATTATTCATGTTAAACAGGCTAAGATCTTCCATTCAGGGCTGTAAGTAGTGAAATGAAAGTCAGATCCTAGAGGCAGAGTTTTTAGAGAAGCATTCAGAATTGCAATATTTACTCTAAGTAAATAACTCCAAATTATGTTTAATAAAAACTACAGTGAAGAGAGCAACTTGACAGTGTTATTAATACAAAGATGTTCAATTTTTTCTTTTTTTAGTATTAGAAACACAGAACATATAAGATTTGCCAACTTTAATACAAATATATTCCAACAGATAGCAATCACACTTTAGGGATGGACAGCTGCTTGGCATAGTTCCACTCATAAAAGACTGTCCTAAAGAATTGTTTAATGGTGGTCCCATGACGCATTTAAAATTTTTTGCAAGATCATTGAATACTTAATATGTCGACTACAGGAACAGAGAAACTTAGAAGGGTTAGTAGCCTCAAGCAATGAAACCGAACCAAAAATGAAATGAAACATTCTTAAAGTTATGATGTTAGTAGAAAATTATGATTTGACAATTAGAAGTCTCCTATCATGTAACATCCTTTCTCATGAAGTGAAGGTTTCCCTCAGCGTGGTCTGGGCCACTGACTCCCCGCAACGTCGGTTAAAGATTCCTGTGTTAGGTGGAAGAATGGATCGAATTAGTGATTCCTAAATGGCTGACTGCAGAGCAGAACTTCTCCAAAAGACACATACCCTGAACTACTAAACCCTGAACTACTAAAATCGGAATTCTGCGGAGCTGGGTTTGAAAATCTGATTTTTCCAAAGCTTGCCAGGGAACCGCAATGAACACCCAGGTTTAAGACCTACTAGAACAGACGACCTTGTCGTGATTCAGATTCTAGGGTTCACGTGTACCTTTTTAGGATTATTCCCACTGTGAGGGAAACCTGTACTATGAATGATTGTAGTAACTATATTAGTGAGTAAGTGGAATAATACAGTAATGGAATAGGGAATTAGGAACTGGAGGTGGTGAGTAACTGAGAAAACACTGCCATGGACTTTTTCTGTTTGCCAGTAGTAGTTTGAATGCTAGCTCCAGCTTTTACATGTTAAATATCATTTATCCAGGAAAGATCTAAGAAATGCCAATAGAACTTTTAATAAAATTGCTAATGCAGTCTCCCTCCATTTTATTGTCCCATGACTCCTATGTTAAGGCCCAGGTGATAAATTCCTCTAATACTTTAGAGCTAGGAAAAATTCTGTTTCCCCTGACAACCCGTTAAGAATCCACTGTGCTTCTACTTTTGCTCTGTTCACCAGAACCTTGGAGCTAATCTCCTCAGTTGCAGGAGCTTACCTTAACACTGATTTTATAGTACAATTGCTCTCTTCTTCCCCGTCTACTACTTACTCCATCCTTCTTTTACATTTTCCATTATTTTTCTCTCGTTTCTGATCTGTCACTAATCTTTTAAAAAGAGTAAACACATGGAATGACCATCCTTGCCATTTATTTGGCATTGGGGGAAGGCTGGAGGTGTTTGTTTTAAGAGGGAAAAGAGAAAAAGAACACAGAGGGGCAGGTCTTTGCTCCCCCGGCGGTTGATACTTCTCCAACCCTCTCCACCTGCAGACAGACAGCAGACATGGAGTTGGGGACAAGGGCTCAAGACCGCCGGTGACTGAGTTCAGCATCAGTGGCACCTTCGAGCCGAAGCTTTGGGTCATTAACTACCTAGATGCCACCTGGTACATGGGCAGGGCTGTTCGGATTTGGGAGGCAGCAATCAAATGTTAGTGTTTTAGTTCTACTTTAGTGACTTGAAAGCAAAAACATCACCGGATGTACAGCTCTGAAATATCCCAGAGCCTTCTCAACACAACCTCCACGAGTCTGAACTTAATGTCTAAGACGGTATAACTCTCTCACTTCCATAATTGATTCCACCGTGGCAGTCCATTTATTCCTATAAAAAGTTCAAATAACTTAACCTTGTACAGCCCACAGGGTAGAGACTGTGAGCGGGTTCAAGTGAAACATTTCAAAGCCGTGACACCGAGAGGAAGTTGGATGGGGTCACGCTGGAAGTGTCGTGACACCCATGTTTCTGCCCACCCACAGGTTCATTCTCCCCAGATCTCAGCTGAGAAATGACTTGCACACTCAAAGAATCAGCACCATGGAGCGCAGCCGGGTTACAGAGCTCTCAGATCGCAGTGTAGACAAAGGGAGAGCTACCACACGCGTTAAAAAAGGATAATGGAAGGTTCCGCACTAACAATTTGAGCTGGCAAACTGGAATTTTACAGCCTTCATAATTTCCTGTATGTACTTACACCCAGTGTGTTATATGTGGTCTCTATACATATATAGTTTCCATTTATCTGTGTTTTAGCACCAAGAACAATAGTCACACATAGTGAGGACTTAATAAATAGTTGCTGAATGAACAAACACCTTTATTTCATTTCTTCTCAACTGGATTATTAACATCTATTTCCTTTAATCCATTTCCTTATAGTAGTAAAATCATGGGGACTAAGCCTGTGCATTGAGGATTAATAATGCACCATTTAGTCCAACGGAAATAATAAACATGGAAAAAATAAAGGAATATCCCTGTAGTGTATATACTTGAAAATGCCTATCCAGGATAGGAATAGGAAAAAAGGGATTATACATTCAGAAAACAATTATGCAATAATGGGGCACATAGCTTCAGAGAGTATGTACTCTCATGCAGTTACAGCATTTTTTAGATACCTTAAGACATTCAAGATAAATTTTACTAGAGACATTACTTGGTGGAAGGATTTCGAGTGCAGGTAAAACTAAGATTTGTTAAGCTTGATGTGGGAGGAATAGCAGGCTGGAGGCACATAGTGATAGGAAATAGGAAAAGAAATGTTTCATGCAAAAAGCAAGATCTAAAGGTATTTTTCATATCTTTGGGGTAATTCTAGGGTAGTGCTGCTTCAGGGCATCAAGGTAGAATAGATACCTCTGCAATATCCCTTCTAGCTCTCAAGTCAATAAATGTAGTGTGGAAAAAGGGAAGGAACAGCCCTGGCCGGTTTGGCTCAGCGGTTAGAGTATCGGCCTGCGGTCCGGAGAGACCCGGGTTCGGTTCCCGCTAAGGGCATGTACCTTGGTTGCAGTTTGTCCCCGGCCCTGGTTGGTCGTGCGGGTGGCAGCCACTCGATGTGTCCCTTTCACATCGATGTTTCCCTCTCTCTCTCTTCCTCTCTCTCCCTCCCACTCTGTCTGTACAAAAAATGGAAAAATGTCCTCAGGTGAGGACAATAAAAAAAAAAAAAAAAAAAAAAAAAAAGGGAAGGAACAAAATTTGAGCAGCTAAATGTATTATTTGGTCAAAAGTATTGATTTTTTTTAAGATTAGAGTTACAAATAATTTATATGCGTAAATATTTCCTCTTTTTAAGAAACACCTTTTGTAAAATTTATCGAAATTTGAAAACCATTAACAAGTGCACTGGTTTAAGGATTAAACTACTCTCCACTCAATAATGATCTTTATCAGCATTGATTTTTCAAGACATGTCTTGAGAAAGGACTGAATAACATTTCAAATAATCCTTTTCATTCTTGATAGGATGCTAAGCTATTCTGTTGTGTTTTCTGCAATACTAAAGTATAATTTTGTCTCCTTAAATTAATTTTTAAAGGAAGGTTAGCTCTGCACTTTCATTAATTCAAAAATCTCACAAACTTTAGTCTTCACCTGCAGAATTAAATTGAAAAGAACCACCCCATCCCTGAATTAATTTTCTGTTGCTGTTATCTATCCTTGAACATTCAATTTACTCCTGCTTTTTTTAATTGTGTGAAAGTCAGAGTAATGTCAAAGAAACTTGTACCATTCCCATTTCAAACCAAATAATGAAAAACCAACCACATATCATTGCTTTATTTTCCTTACAACGAAAGGCCAGTGTTCTTGAACACCACTGCATCCTTATCCTCAGTGACAACAATCTACAGACAAAACAGAAAAGGCTTCTCCAGGAGCGCAAAGCATCTTGGCACTGTTGTCCAACAGTAACATCTCTCCTACCCCTCAGTCTTTCTTTATTTTCTCAATACACAATTATGGTTATTCTTTTGAAGTCTCAGTGCCTAGGTCTAAGGTTTTTAAAAGCCTTTTGTTACAGGAGACTCAATGAACATAGAGCTGCCCAAATAGAACAGGCAGGGCTGATCTCCTGCTCCTGGTGAGATGACCTATGCTCAACCCAACACAGCCCTGCCTCTCCAAGTCTCTAGCTCATAGGACAGCAGTTTTCTGAGGTAGCATTCTTGTACTCCTGATCACTACCACTACAGGATCTCCAGGGGAGAATAGTATCATAGTAGCACCTTGCATTTTAATTTAGAGAAGCTACCTGCCCACCCCCAAGAGACCATGGCAACTAAACCCATTATATCTCACACACCTGTTACTCACAAGAAACTAGCACTTTCCTCCCCCCACCCCCCAAATGTTATTCATCATCACTTGGACCAACAGCAGTACCT